GCCAGTCGTTCACACCTTCTCACCGGTGCATCAGTGTTCCTCCTCTGAATGTGCCCGAACCATCTGAGTCTTGCTTCCCGCATCTTGTCCTCCATGGGGGCCACACCCACCTTCTCTCGAATATCTTCATTTCTAATCTTATCCTTCCTTGTATGCCCGCACATCCACCTCAACATCCTCATCTCTGCAACTTTCATCCTCTGGATGTGTGAGAACTTCACCGGCCAACACTCGGTCCCATACAACATAGCAGGCCTAACCACTGCCCTAGAAAAATTGTCCTTAAAATTCCTTAAGGACGCACAAGAAAAATTGTGGACTCGAAATATTTCTGATTTTTTACTATTTTATACATTTCTTTATTCTTCTAACAGTTTTCTGATTTTTGTTTTAACACAGTTACGCTCACATAAAATACTCCCGTTAATCCCAACTCAGATAACAAGTTTCTCTTTTGTGACGATCAGGATGTTCTAAACCATCCACTAATAATAATTTTTGTACTTCTTTTTCAGAACTTTCAAAAATTCAAATTCTTTAATCATTCCAACCAACCCCTTAATATAATCACCTTTTTCTATTAAGCTAACTAGCATGGACACCAACAACAACAACCCGGTAAAATCCCACCAAGTGGGGTCTGGGAGGCCTGGACACCACTGTTATAAAAAAAAAACTACCACTAGATCATGTTATAAATTTTAACCTTCTAATCAACTAAACACCATCACATAAAATAGGTAAAAAAAAAAAATTCCTTTATACTATCAAACACAGATGACGGAACACACCAAAAGCCGATATTCCTCACATCGACAGCAAAGTGAAAGGCCGAACAAAAAAAAAAACCCAAGGATTGAAGAGTTGGAGTAACAATTATATATATACTGATGGAAGAGGACTAGTTGAAGCGCACATAGAAGAACCCTAACCATAAATATATAAAAGAAAGAATACTTGTATTAAAGCTATGTACCTGTGCGCCTCTGCGATAGTTTAGCTTGAAAAATGGAAGATCCAAATAAACAGAGAATTCTGTACAGTTTGAAAGGATTAGAAGTGGAATTGATGGGTGTCTTTGTTGATGAGAAGAATAGCAAAAGTTAGTTACTTTTCTGGTTTTCGGTGGTGCTGCCATGTGTTATAGTTTAAACCCTCCACTTGTCACTGGATTTAGATTTTAGAGTGAGTGAATGATAACCTCCTTATAGTAATTTTGGTGTATCTAGAGGTCATCATACAGTACTACTTGCCTACTTTGCACCATAGGTGGATCTTAGAGCTAGCCGTTCATTTTCATCGGCTTATAGGCAAAATGAGATCATTTTATGTTCCATTTTGGGGTTGTATGGTTATTTTTCTTGATAAATATTTTTTTGAAAGATGAGTGATTTTATCATTTATCTTCTCATATTTAATTGATAACTTGCTCATCAACTTTGATTTATGATATGAATAGCTTAGTTTTGGTAAACAAATCACAATTACAGGTACATGGGAGGTCGATGGAATGAACGGAATACGAACATTTAAGTATGTTACCCCCAGGTTTTCGTACGTAAAAGTATGCCATAAGTAAATTGATAAAGCTTGGAAATGAGATATTACATCCAACATTTTTTTACGTTAAAGTTTTGTCGTAAGTTAATCAACATAAGTTCGGGAATGGGATTATTTTGAAATTATAAGCATTATGCTACTTTAAACACGTGATGAGTAAATTCGTGAAGGAGAAAGGAGTAAGCAAATCAACGAAAATGAATTTCGTCAAATTCTGGCATTTTGAGATAAAATACAGCCCGAGCTAAAATACCTGGTAGTTATGGACTAGTACCATACAAGGTACTACATGATCATGATAGCAAGGTGTATAAGGTGTGTTAAAATATGTAGTATTATAAGTAATTTGAGATAATTCTTAATTATGTGGGTAATTAATTAATTATTGAATTAATGAAAGATTAATAAGTTGATTAAGGAGACGGGATAGAAATTTAAATAAGTTCAAGTGTTGTAACGTGGCAGCAAAAGGATCAATGAATTGTGACTCAAAAATTAGTATATTATGTGTCAATTCATAAGGAAGTGAGTCATTTCCATTTAGTAATGGATAGACACATATAACATGAGTCACATTATATCTAGTTACAAAAGAAAAACGTGAGAACGTGAGCCATATCCATTCTTAAGATATATAACTCACAATTCCATTACCATATACATTCAAACATAATTGTTTGTATGTTACAAACATAGGTCACAACCGTAAGTCACATATGTAAGATAAAACCTTCAACAATTCAAATCAAAGTGAGATTTCGCAATTATAATAGAGTATGATGCAATCTTTCTTAAGAATATCATACGAATTTTTTCCTATTTCGATTCGTCGTTACGTGTTGTCGCAATTGACATGTATTAAAGGGATTTTTAAGAGAATCGACTAAGGTATATTAATGTTATCCCTTCTTTCTTTTGGCATGATCCATACGGTACAAATGAAACAAGCGAAATACACAACTTTCATAAATGACTCTATTCATAGAAATACTAGGGGTGTCTATATTTTTGATTCCCCATGTAAATTATTATTATATCTTCTGTTCATGGGTCTCAGAAAAATACGTATATGATAAAGTTTATCCGAAAGACATATTGATTTTTATGGCATTCCGAAAAAATTTTATTAACATATTTCTTATGCATTTCATGCATTTATACATGTACATTGACTCATCACCAGATGGTGTTATATACGCGTATTTATATGTATATATATGTATATGGGATATGAAAAAAGGTTACGGCGTTATATCGCACCACCACCTGATCAGCTGGTATACGTTGATGATTTTGCCCACAGTGGCCGAGATGATATGATGGGATGCCCTCAGAGGCTGATGATGTTATGAAACATGTATCTATGCATGACATGATATTCATACGCATATGCATGATACTATAAGTATTTTATGATTTACAAAGTTTTCCAGACTTACAGGTTGAGTTATGTACTCTATATTTCTTCCATGTTTGTTATGTACATATTTATGTGCCTTACATACTCGGTACATTATTCGTACTGACGTCCCTTTTGCCTGGGGACGCTGCGTTTCATGTCCGCAGGTCCCGATAAATAGGCCGAGAGCCATCCAAGTAGGTTATCAGCTCAGCGGAAGATGTTGATGCGCTCCATTTGCTTCGGAGTTGCTTTCTTGGTTAGTATGATTTAGACGTGTATTGTTTGGTATGACAGAACTCTGTCCCGACCTTTATGAAAATTACGTATTCTTAGAGGCTTGTAGACAGATGTCATGTACGTAAGAGATTGTATGGCCTTGTCGGCCTATATTCAGTGTACGAGTGGTTATTTTGGGCTTATAGGCCTGTATGTCTTATGTATAGATTGGTATTACATATTGTATTCTACCTATTTCACGGCAGCCTCTCCGGCTCAGTTATCTATGATAGTATGATACGAAAAGATACGTTATGTTGGTACTCGGTTGAGTAAGGTACCGGGTGCCCGTCGCGGCCAATCGGTTTGGGTCGTGACATATGTGTTTGGTATGAAGGAAAATATTTTCCAATATTTTCATATTTGGTTGGCTTAAATATTTTGGAAAATATTTTCCTCATCAACTCATTTTTCTCCAATTGAAGGAAAATGTTTTCCTTATCAAGAGAAGGGAAAATATTTTACAAAACTCTTTTCCAACATNTAGTATTTTCTTTTCATGTTATAGATAGATTTTTTTTTCATTTCAACAAATGAGTATTTTCTTTATGATATAAAAAATATTTTTTTTATTTTAACAAAAAAAAAAGCAGTTTCTTTTCATGATATAGAAAATATATTTTCTTTCATTTCAACAAAATGGTTTTTTTCTTTTTATAATGTAGAAAAAGTATTTTCTTTCACTTCAAGAAAATGAGTATTTTCTTTTTATAATGTAGAAAAAGTATTTTCTTTTATTTTAACAAAATGTGTATTTTCTTTTCATGATGTAGAATTTTATTTTTTTTTCATTTCAACAAAATGAGTATTTTCTTTTCATGATTTAAAAAAAGTATTTTCTTTTATTTCAATAAAATGAGTACTTTTTATTTTAATGTTGTAGCAAGAGTACTTTCTTTTTCAACCAAAAAAGAGTATTTTTTTAGTTATGGAGCGAATTTCAACATTGTGCTTGCGTAAAAAAGTAACGCAGCACATTAGTTCCTTTGGGTTTGTGTGAATTGTTAGAAGAATGATTAAATTCTTGAAAAAAATAGAGTTCAGAAAACGTTGGGTATTTTGGGGGGAGGGGGGCAAGGAAACATGTGAACTTGGGGAAGGGGTGAGGAGAGTAGCATAAAAAAAATATTTTCCACTCATCAACCAAACAAGGGAAAATAAGTAATAAAATCACTCATTTTCCATGAAAACATTTTCTAGGAAAATTTTTCCATGGAAAACATTTTCCTTCATACCAAACACACCCCATATCTACCCACTTTTCCCTCATTAAACTCATGCGGCTTTGCCCTTCTCTATAAATACGCTAAAAAATATTTTCCGAAAAAAGTTAGTGCTTGACTTGAATCTAAGCTAGCGTTTGGCCATAGATTCCCAAATTTGTTTTAAAAAATTTGATTTGGGTGAAGTTTGGTTTGAAGATAAAAAATTATTTGGACATAATTTTTCAAAACATACTTCACTTTTTTTTTTTTGAAAAAACATGAAATGTGATTTATAGTCATAAGTTTTAAAAACTATCAAAAATACCCAACAACTCTGAAGAAAATTCATATAAAACAAGGGAAACAAATGTGAAGAAAATTCATACAAAACAAATAAAATAAAATATAAAAAATTTGCCTTAAAAATTTATTTGGGTTGACTTCGGTCAACTTTTTGAGCAAACATACCCAGATCGGTATTTTAATGATCCTGGTGGGTCCGTATTGTGATTTGGAACTTGGGCGTGTGCCCGAAATCGAATTCGAAGATCTCTAGATCGAGTTATCGCTTTTTTTTGGAAATTTAAAAGTTTAAAGGCTTAATGACTTTGAAAGTTTGACTAATGTTTGACTTTATTGCTATCGGTCCGTATTTTAGTTCCGAAATCTGGCATAGGTCCATTACTATATTTATGACTTATTTGTCACATTTGGTGAGAAACGGAGTTGGTTTGACGTGATTCTGACGCCCGGTTGTTAAAATAGGAGTTCATGAGTTTTCTTAAAATTTTCCTTTGATTTGGTGTTCAATTCATAGTTTTAGGTGTTATTTTGGTGATTTGATCATGTGAACAAGTTTATATGATATTTTTTGACTTGTGTGCATGTTTAGTTTGGAGCCCCGAGGGCTCGGGTGAGTTTCGAATAGGCTACGGAGTGAGTTTTGGACTTAGGAATGTGCTGGTGTGTTTCAGTTCTGGTGCAGTCAGACCTCCCAAGTGCGAGGTCAGGCTTCGCATTTGCGACCTCTGTTAGGTTTGCATTTGCGAGCAACTCCTCGCATTTACGAAGAGTAGCTGTGGCACCTCCAATTCGCATTTGCGAACAAGACTTTGCATTTGCAAAGTGGGGTTGGGAAGAGGTTTTTTGCATTTGCGATCATTTTGGTCGCATTTGTGGAGGGCACACTGTTCGCAATTGCAAACTATTCATCACAATTGCGATGACAACAGAAATGGGGAGACTTCGCAATTGCGACTGTTTCTTCGCATTCAGGTCGCAAATGCGACATCTGTGACAGGCAAAATAGCTGAAAAACGGGATTTTCTCTCATTCTTCAAATTTTCAAAACAAGAAAACCTTAGAGGCGATTTTCCCAAGAACCCTTCTTCCCCAATCCATTGGTAAGTGATTCTAACCTATATTCTTTCAATCTTTCATTACATTTCATAAGATTTCAACCTAAAATCTAGTATTTTCATGGTGGAAATTGGGGGTGTGGGTAGAATTAGGGATTTTTGTAAAATTGGGATTTAAACCTTAAATTGAGGTCGGATTTCAAAATAAATTATATAACTGGGCTCGAGGGTGAATGGGTAGTCCGGGTTTGGTCCGAATTTCAGCTTAGGACCAAGCGGGTCCGGGAGTTGGCTTTTATTGACTTTTTCAATAATGACCTAAATTGAATCTTTTGCAATCGTGGGTAGTTCCTAAGGCTTAATGTGAAATATTTGGTTGGTAATTTGCTAGATTCTATTGGTTCGGAGGCTTGTTTGAAAGGCAAAGCTGTGGTTGAGCTTTGAGTTGATCCTTGG